ATCAGACTAGAAAGAACTACAAAACATCACTGATTCATTCTTCTAGATATAGCTAAAGCTATATACAAGTTAGCAAGTAGGTAACTAGTGGGTTCATTTTTTTAAAGTGATAGTTGGGTTTATGTGGCTTAAATAACTGAAGGATAGATTTTTCCCACTTCCATGCTGGCTGTGCTGTCAACAGTAGACACAACCACAGGGAACAGCAGCCATGGATGGGCAGCTTAGAATGCAAGAATCCCTGGCCCAGTCACTGAGGCTGAAGAACTGTTTACTGGGCACCTGTGAGGGCAGCCATGTTGGCTGTTACATTAAAAAAAAAAAAAAAAAATAGCAGCATTCTTCCAGGGGTGCTGCTGCTGAGAGTTAACATTTACTGAGTGCTAGACCTTAGGCTGGGCAATTCGCCTACATATTGTCATGTAGTAGGCAGAATTCCAAGATACCCCTCAAGATTCTGCACCATTGGTTTACACTACCTGAATAATTCCCAGGACTGTGACAATGATGGATTTCATTCCTATTATTGGTCTATGTTACACTAGAGGCCCCGTGTACAAAATTCATGCACTCAGAGCGGGGGAGGGGTCCCCCCTCATAGAGAGCCTTTGGGGGATGCCTGACTGACGGCTTAGCATGAGGAGTGGGCCTAAGCTGTCATTCAGACATCCTTAGTACTGCCATGGAGCCACCGCGGCTGTGCTTGCCAGCCATGAGCCTGGCTCAGGGCTATTGGCTGAGCAGCACTCCCCCTGTGGAAGCATACTGACCACCAGGGGGCAACTCCTGGTGGTCAGTGCACGTCATAGTGAGCGGGTGCATGGCCTTAGCATATTACACTTTGATTGGTTGAGTGGCCAACTAGATGACCTGACACTTAGCATATTAGGCTTTTATTATATAGGATTGGACAGATGTCTTTAAAAAAGGCATGTTAACTGATAGGCCTGACCTTATCAAAGGGACCCTTTAAATCTGGGTACAGAGGTCAGTGACAGAGAAGTCAGAAACATGAGAAAGAGCTGAACACCACTCACTGCTGATTTGACAACAGTGGGGACCACATGGCAAGGAATGGCCTCCAGTTGACAGCCAGCAAGAAAACAGGGACCTAAGTCCTAAAACTACAAGAAACTGAATGCTGCCAAGAACCTGAATGAGCGCACTGAGGCCTGATCGTAGTCATAGGGGACCATGACCTGAGAACACAGGCATGCTGTCCTGGACTCCTGACAACAGAAACTGAGAGATAACTTGTGCTATTTCAGCTGTTAAATTTGTGGCAATTTGTTCCTATGGATAATAAAAGAAAAAATGAGGAAATATTACAATTATGCAAAAACTTAGGATGGATAAATTCCTTAAAAAGCAAACATAGACACATCCAGCTGACTGGCGAGGCTCAGTGGTTGAGTGTATTGCCCTGATGTCAGGATTTGAGACCCGATCACGGCACAGTGGGGGGCATGTAGGAGGCAACCAATTAATTATTCTCTCTCATCATTGATGTTTCTATCTCTCCCTCTCCCTTCTTCTCTCTGAAGTTAATAAAAAATATATTTTAAAAAACATACACAACTTGCTAAAATGAACACAAGAAAAAAATTTAAAAATTGGGATATTTCTATATTTAATAAAGACATTAAATTTCTTCCCACAGCTGAAACCGGTTTGGCTCAGTGTTAGAGCGTCGGTCTGCGGACTGAAAGGTCCCAGGTTCGATTCTGATCAAGGGCATGTACATTGGTTGCGGGCACATCCCCGGTAGGGGGTGTGCAAGAGGTCGATGTTTCTCTCTCATCAACGTTTCTAGCTCTCTATCCCTCTCTCCTCCTCTCTGTAAAAAATCAATAAAATATATTTTTTTAAAAATGTCTTCCCACAAATAAAACACTTAGAAAAAAAATAGTGCCCAACCTACACAAATGCCTTCAGAGGAGGATGAAGGAAAACTTGCCAATTCATTTTACGAAACTAGCATTGTGCTGTTATCAAAATCTGACAAGGTCAACACAAAGAAAACAAATTTCAGACTAGTATCATTAATGACCCTAGACATAAAAATTTTGACACAATTTTAGCAAATCAAATCTAATAATACAAAAAAGGATAAAATATCTGACTGAGAAAGGTTTGTTTATCCTTAGAATGGATGGTTGGTCTAACATCCAAAAACTAATTAATGCAATTCATTTAACAGCATAAAGAAAAACCATGGGATCATGTCAATAAGATACAGGAAAAACGTTCTATAGAATTCAACACCCATTCTTGATAAACACTCTTAGCAAAGTAGGAAAAGGGAATTTATTCAATGTAATAAAGACATCTATGCTAACATCAGCCTTCATGTGAAAATACAAGGCCAGATGTCTGCTCTCATCATTGTATACAACATCATACAGGAGGTCGCAGTCAGTTCAAGTAAGCAAAAGAAACTTAAAAAACATAAAGAGTGGACTGGAAAGAAAGAAGCAATGCTGTTGATGGATGATATAAATTGTCTATGTAAAAAAAATGGTAAGAAGAGGGGAAATAACTGCCTGCCTGCAAGTTAGCCTGGATGGAGAAAGCCATAAGGAAGAATGTTGGATAGGGGGAAGATTTGAAGGGGAAGGAAGAGAGTGGGAGCAAAGGAATGAGCAAAGACAAAACAGAAGCTAAACTCAGGGTACTCATAGGTCCTCTCGTTGGCTGACCCTTCATTTCAAGCCACCCACCCCCACCCCAATAGAGAGGAATACAGACTCGAATAGAGAATTACAGATTTGCTTCACAGAATGGAGTTCAAGAGGTAAACAGCTCTGCCCAAGCTACAGTGAACATGGGATTGGATCTTATGAGAGGAACTGGGCATGCATGGCCTCAAAGCCTGTGCTCACCGGTAGAGGGGATTTCACTTGTGAGGACAGCATTTGCTGGACCACCATGAGCAAGAAGCACATGTCATGGGAAAAGCCCTAGTCGGTGCTAACAAGTGTCCTTTCTAAGTTCGCATGTTTAGAATTTTGCTCTATAGGAGGGAATAAACAGCTGACTCCACTCAAAGGCTCTACTGTTGTTCAGAAACTGTGCGAGTGTTTATGTCAGGGGCAGAGCTCGCGGAGTGAATTATAGCCTTTTATGCACTGTGTACATACAATATTTTCACAGGACAAAGAGCCAGGGCGTGGAGGGAGTGCTGCGGTTGACCTTTCCTCCTGTCCTTTCTCTTCAACCTCCACCAGTCTCAAGTCTGTACTGCAGGACAGTGCCCTGGTTGTGTTTACCAATGCCCAGCCTCCTAGAGCACCCAGGGAAGCCACTCTGTTCAATTTAGGAAGGCGCTTTTGCTCTGTCTTCTTCCTTACACAAGCTGCTGGCTTTTTCCTTTATTACACTTAAAATGAATCCTCCTAACTACAGTAGAAAGCAGATTTTTTTCAACATTATTTCAGATGTTTTCTTTAGACTGGTATTAACATAAAGCAAAAATCTCTTGCAACTCTGGACTGATCTGTTAAGATAAACAAGCTGCACTTACAATATTCCCATACTAAAATCATAGGCTTGTGGTATGCAACTCCTTAAAGACTCAATTCATATACATGCTAACTGGCTACTTCACACACACACACACACACACACACACACACACACACACACCAAGATAGCCTTGCCATGGAAACCACAAAGACACATCTGGTTCAGACTCCACAGCACATACCACAAATAACAGCCTATCTTCTAGGGGCAGATCCTACATATATACAGGGAAAGCCCAGAGAATTAAACAACTGCAATGCCTCAAACATGAAAACTTACTTTATAACCCCCCTTGGAGTCTGTTTTAAGATATTCAAGTCTTAATCATTGTTAGTAGTTACATTTGCACACGCTTGTCTTTTTCCTTAAATAGAATTTCAGACGAGGGTGTCACGGTGGAAAGGGCCGCTACAGGGAGGAAGGGCACACTGCATTCAGATAACAGCAGCTCTACATTCTGCAGGTGAATCTGGGGGGCCTGGGTTCCCAGAGGAAGCCACTCTGTCGTTACTTAAGGGTCCCATCCATCCAGCCATGAGTGAAGGCCTTGTGCTAGAGAAAGTATAGGAGATGCCAACAGGTACACTGGGAGGGAGTGAGGTCTCAGGGAGGGGGTGGCATGAGCAAGAAGTCCTGCTAATCAAGAGCATTCTAGGTCTGGAAGGCCAGGTTTTGTCAGCAGGAACCTGAACACTGTTGGAAGTGTGGTGTGATGGAGGCTTTGATCTCTCCTGCTGGGCTACAGACCCCAAGAGGACATGGACAATTTCTAATGTGCTTATCACTGTACCCCAGCACGGAGCACACTGCCTGGAATGTGGTAGTTGCTCAGTAAATACCGAGTGAGCAAATGAAGAAGACATCTAATAGATAATTCTTCATTTGTGTGATTCAAAGTGATAAAGTACTAACCACCTGCCACTTACTCAAATTGCCAACCAACATCCATAGGGATTTCAATAGTTCTAAGCTATTTGTGCAGCTATTTAATCAACGAAAATGGGGCCCTACTTGAAGCTGAGGAAAATATGAAAGGAAAAATGAAAGCAGCTGTCACATTTCCATCATTGACACCATTTATCCACAACTCTAATTTTTATCTAGAGGTAGATTTCTGATAAATCCCATAATCCATTAAAAACAACGACATGGTCTATCTGATGAGGTTAGATGAGGGGTTGGCAAGCTTTTTCTGTAAAGGGCCAAACAGCAATTTTTGGCTTTTCAGGCTATATTCTGTCTGTTTCCATGACAAACTCTGCCACTGTAGCGTGGGAATAGCCAGAGAGAATAAGTAAAGGTTTGGGCGTGGCTGTATGTCAATAAACCTTTATTTACAAAAACAGGCACAGAACAGGCTTTAGCCTGTGGGCAACAGCTTGCCAACCCCTGAACTAGATAATATGTTCTTACCTGTGGGAACATGTTATTACCCCAGAAATAACAATGTAGGAAATAACAATGGTTTCACTTACTTTGCTCTTTTGGCCATTTCATTTCCATCCCATCTAGGGCTGTATGGATAATTTTTTTGGGCCTGGGAATAAAGCTGTCCACTATTGGTAAAGTGGTAGACGGACTGAAATGTGAGAGTTGGCTGGTCTCGAGGAAAAAACAGGGGCAGGTCAACTGCAAACACAGAACAAAGGAAAAGAAAGTTAAAGTGCATCTTAATACATTTTTTTGGATAAATCTGAATGTTGGGTATAAGACTCTATTTAAATTATCCATACTGGTTGAGGCTTAGGTAAGAGGTGTGGAGAGAGGGACCAAGAAATACAAGGTGCCTTTCCTGCCTTCAAGGAGTTTACAATCCAGGTAGAGAGGCAAATCACACGGAAATGAAACTTGAACCAATCTGAGGCATGGTGTGTAGGTGCTGAAGGAATGCCATCTGAACTCTCTTGTGGCTCTGCCGTGCCCAGTATTCTTCGGAGTTGGTTGTATACCTATTTTAAGTCTCTGTTATACCATAAACTCTTCACACATTGGCAGTGTCTTCCTCACCTTCAATCTGATGGGGTGGAGGGTATCCTTCGATAATGAATTCAGAAAGGGGGTCATCAAGAGGGCAGACAATTATTTTTCTGTCTTATAGAATACTAGAGGTCCAGTGCATGAAATTCACGCACAGGTAGCATCTCTAGGCCTGGCCAGCCATCAGGGCCAATCAGGGACCTTCTGGCTGCTGGCCGGGGCCTCCCTTCATTCAGTGCCACCCCTAGTGGTCAGCACACATCATAGCACACGGTCGAAATCCTGGTCTCCTTGTTGAACTCCCATGGGGACAATTTGCATATTAGGCATATATATAGAGAGAGAGGATGGCAACTGGAACCCTAGAAAAAATAAAGTTATTCCTTTATTTCCAGTCAAGCAGGATATTCAGGAGTCCTAAGCTTTTATGTCTGCTTTACTACATGCATTTCCTAAGCTGTGGGAGCTCCTGAATGGAATGCAACAGAAGCAGATCTGAGCTGCAGCGCACAATGAGTCTAATCTTTGCTGTTAGCATTGTCTGTTCAATTGGGGTTCTTTAATTCCCTTTTTAAAAAGAAAATGACACTGTTTTTAGTTGAGGCAAACCATCATTAAAAATCAGATTGTTTCAATAGCAGAGTCCTCCAGGTATGTAATGTGTAGGTATCTGTGTGAATGTTATCCACTTCAGGTCAAAGAACAGGCACATTAATATATCAAAAATAACAACATGAAACATGTGTACTTTACAGAGTACTTCTACATATTTTATCTAATTTGAAAGCTATAACTCCAAGAAGCAGATGCTGTTTTTGCCGCCTGTCTTTAACAGATGAATAAACTTGAGCCTCCAACAGGTTTACTAACTTGCTCATGCCATAGCTGGGCAGGGCAGGACTCAGATCTTGTCTCATGAATTCAACCTGAAGCTCCTTCCAGGGGCCCACATTGCCTTCTGCCCTCATGGGTGTTGGCATGACCTGCTCACCACATGCTCACTATATCACAATTACCATTCAGTATGCTCAAGTGTCTGCTGTGAGGACACACAAGGATCATCTTTTTGGTGACATAAAACAAATATGTGAATAAAAGAAACCCCACATACTCTATTGTTGTGCCAGTTTAGGGTGACATTTGACTTGGACTAGGTCCTCTTAGGACCCACTATGATTTCTTAAAGAAAAAATTAGGTTTGCAAGAAATTTAAAACACACACACATGCACACAAAAAACCAAGAAATACAAGAAGAGGCCCAGTGGGTAGGCCCCTTAGTGCCCGGAGTGGACCTGCCTCTGACTCAGGCTGTGGGGCTTTCTGCCTCTGAATCACACCACAACCAAAGAAGGGTGGCGAGAGTCTGCATGTCCACTCTTTAGTCACATTTCCCACCTCAGTGCAGTCTCAATGTCTATTTGTGCCAATGCAGAGATTTAGCAACATATAGGAACAATACCAAATATGAAAAACAGACTGATTCAAATTATAAATAATTCAATCCAGAAAGCCCCTTTGAGTCCCTTATATTACAAAGCATGATCAGTAACATCTTCAGTCATTTTGAGTAAAAAAATGCTTTCTAAAATAAGTTAGTCTTTCCTGATTACTCATTTTATTTCTTCAGATTAATTTTAGAAATGATGCCTATTCATGTGTACTTATATTACATTTACATTATGGATACACTTCTAAATATAAAACGAGATTCAGATTAACCCTGAAAACTATCATCAATAGCATGGTTGAAAAGTACATGTTGTAAGCTCCCATTTAAAAAAGCCACAGTTTTAAATAATGGAATTCAATGGCAATAATTGACTGATTTAAAGCAAACACTGTCACCATTCAGTATAAAAGTAATACAGATAATACCATAGGCTTCATGATTCTCAAGCAATCAGTTTTTCTGGAATATGAAATGTATCATAATTTTTGTTCCTATTTTTTTGTGTTGTTGAAAATGAATTGCTAATATTTTGATATGCTGAAAAATGATTTTCCCACATAGTTCGGAACCATCTACTCTGTTCCCCTAAATGCCCACTTAGCATCATAAATAATTCAAAATGTGAATGCAAATGTATTTACTTAGGTAAGTGTTATTCTGATTTTTTTTTAAATTGCTATCCAGCTACTAGTATATGCTGATAAGGTACCATGATCCCACAAAAGCATTGGTTACAGGATTATTTCTCCATGGATATTTTTTTTTTTTGCCTGAAAAAGTAAAATTGAAGCCAATATTAAAATCTGAACAAAAGGGCTAGACTGTTAGGAGGCAGGAATGGTCAGAGTATTCCAGAGAGAAAATCAGTAATCCGCATACTAATACACATAGGATAAAATTAGAAAAATATCTGGCGTGACCTTGCTAAGTTGTAACCTGCTTGTATAAGTCAGCAGTCAATCAGGGATTGGCTTCTTTAAAAATGTTCTCGGCATATGAAGGAGTTAATGAAAATATTTATGAGAAATACTTTGCATTCTTCTTGTAAGAATGATTTGAATGGTACAAACTAGTCAGAACTAAAGAAAAACAAAACCTGTTTTCCTTATCCCCGATGCTCCTGTCTCTTACCATTTGCCTATAGCCTACCTCATGACTTTCTGATATGCAGCAAATATACAGTATATAAATATATGTTGTGACATATTTATACATTTCAGTACTCTATTATGTTTTGAAACTTTATTTGCTATTTTTTCATATCACTTCATTTTTAAAAAAAAAAAAAACTATTTTAGTGATTTATTCCTCAGAACTTCAACTGTCCTTTTGTTTTTTAATTTTCCTCTTTCATGGACGCCATGTTCTTTGGAAGCTTGTATAGACCAAGTTAACGGCCGTTAAGGCTTCCCCCATGTGAACAGGAGCTCACTTTTGCAATAATCAGAATTACATGTCATGGGGGAGGCATAGGATTTTAGAGATGCTTCGGTGGGGCACGGCCAGCAAGAGGCTGGGAACCACTGCTCTCAGCCTCCATTCACACACTGGCTCTGAAGGAATGCCCAGCTTCTGAGGAGCTTGAGCGCAGTGTTTTAGCTTTATCAAAGTTAAACACTCTAACCATTTGCTTCCTCAGCACCCACCCCCACCCACTGGCTCATGTCTGATTCCCGGAGTAGAATCATTCCGTTTGGGTCAGTTACTCATGTCAGGGTTATTTTGACAACTGTTTTCTATTTCCTTCTTCCTGTACCCAGAGACTGGGTTTGGGTCAGCTCTCTATCCACAGAAGGGATGGTCCTCCCTTGCTCAGTATAATCTCGGTAATCATTTTCAAAGCATTACTTTCTTCAAGAACCTGTTGAAACAAGTCACACCCAAACACTCTAACTCTGCACAGCCTGGAGGTCACAGGGCTCCTTCCCTGATGGGACGCCTGGCAGAGGGCAGGAGCAATTAACTCTGCACCAGCTGACAGCACTGCATGGCAGCCTGTTAGTCCCGCCCGGAGCCCCGGAGTGCCCCGAGCCATCAGCTGGCCAAGCTGCACTGAGAGGGAGCTGAGCGCACAGCTGCCTCTCAGCCACACTGCGTTCAGACGGAGGCAAGCTCATCTTCTCTATAAACAAGCTTACCTGCCCCAGAGACTCCTCTCACCATCGGAGGACTTCACTGAAGCAGTATGCAGGTGCACAAGGCTCTCTAGAAACCTCACTTCTCCGAAACCTCAACAATGGAAATGACCCTGAACAACCAGACACTGCGTATCTGATCCACAGGACAGCTGTCAGATACCCAGAACATTTCAGACGTAATTCTAACAAGTTTGAGAATATGATTTTTCCAGAAAAAAATCTCTGTATGGCAAGATGAGGGCAAGGTACGTGAACAGTGAGTAGTGGTAACCAGCAGTCTGAGGAAGGAGAGAGAATCTATAATAATAAAAGGGTAACATGCTAATTAGACCGGACATCTTTCTGGACAAAGCAGGGTCTGGAGGGAAGCCAGCCCGGGTCCCCGGTGCCAGAGGGAAGCAGGTGCCGGCAGCCAGGGGAAGGAAGGCCTACTCTTGCAGAATTTCATGCATCGGGCCTCTAGTAATAAATAAAAGCAGACTTGGGAAATCAAAGAGGACCCAATCTGGGGCCACTTAGTGTAAGAATAAAAAGCTCAACAATCCGTCCAGTTACAGCCACACAGTAAGTGATATTCACCACCATCCTGGAAACCATGGCACACACTCCTGGGTGCCCAACCACAGCCACTGGCCATTGTTCCTTAGGCAGCTCCCCCCACCTACCCCTACTCCCAAAGCCCCAGAGCTGGCTATCCACTCTCTCCATCCTCCCAGGAGCCAGGCAGGCAACGGTGACTCAGTCCCACTGACGAGACTGAGAGGAAGTCGGCTGGGGGTCTTCTGAGAAATATTTTCCTCTCTGATTAAAGACACGCGTAAGGAGAAGCCCTCATCCCGTTCTGGCTTTAGATGTTAGCATGTGAGATCCCGAGGCCGGGAGCTGCACACCCATCTCATGACCATGAAGGGAAAGTCAACCGATACCACCGAGGCACCGAATTCATCACCCTCGGAACCGCCAACTCTGGGGGTTTTCTTGTGAGGCAATTACAAGTCCTCACTGTTTAAACCTCTTTGAATCGGGTCTTCTCAGACTTTCAATCAAAGGCATCTCAGGAAAT